ATAAAAGAGATATAGTAAAACAAAGTAGCTACAATAACCAGTTTGTTAAAACAAAAATACAACAATAAAAAATCAAGGAAAGGCCCTGCACAAATCTGGTTTGAGACTACTTTTTAAAAGTGCATAATGATAACCTTTGACGATGTTTAATTCAGGTGCGAAAAGAATTAATATCTATAGCGCATGAGCACAGAGAGATTTGAGAGTGCACAGGACACAGTTTGAGTGAGAGGAGACATGTTTTAAGTGCGCGCACTCTCTCTGGGCGAGAGCAGCGTGTATCTGAGCGCGAGCGTCCGGTTTTGTGCGAGAGCAAAGGAAATCCACGCGCGAGCAGAGAGATTCGCGCGAGCGCATTGTATTAATGTGCTTTCGCGCTACAATAATGCGCTCTCGACATTTGTCATTAAAATAACGCCATACACATTGAGCTATACTCATAAACTGGGCCATAAGTTTTTTTTTACAGCATATGAATGAGAAACTTAAAATACGTTTTTCCATGTCTTTTAGATTTGACATTTATAAATTTTAATTAGAAACGTCGAAATTACAGTTTGCCTCTTCCAGGACAATGCACTATAACAATGAGGACACCTCTTGCATCACCAATTTTTCTCCAATCAAATGCTCCCCCGCCCCCCAATGCCACCTCCCTGCCCAAACGTCCTGTTTGAACAAGAAATATTTTAATACAAGAAAGATGTTCCTTCCTATCAAGTAATTTCACACGGTTTATTGGTGTACATTTAGGATAAACTATTTTCCATTTAAATAAAATTAGAAATGCTTTGAGTAGGGGATGCACCGATACCAATTCTGGTGTGAACAGAGCTGTGTCCAGAAAAGTATGAGATTACGGGAACAGGAAATAACATGGCAACCAGCACTTAAGGGTTAGCACAGGTTAACACTCTCATTAAGATGGTAACCAACTTAACCACCTCCCACAAGGCCAAAAGACCAAGAATCTGCTCAGCATCAGACCCAGACAAATTTAGCCATTCAAGCGACTGAGTTCAGAGAGGGAAAGGAATACAATGGGTCTGTGCTCAAAGGCTGTTCTATAAAGTGGGGCAGTTCCAACTTTGCAAGAACAGTCTGGAACTTCTGACTCACAGATTGTAAGTACATTTTTTATAGTTAAAGAATTTGCTACTGATGATTCAAACGTGAGTAGCGCTTGTTGTTTGTCGTTTCTCCAGACATGGTTTTATGTTTACGCAGCGCGATACGCAACCCAACGCATAAAAAGACAGTATAAGTCATTATAATCAGTAATTATGTCCCCACTGGATACAACAAATGCCTCATTTGTAATGGGTTTTATTGTTTTTGTCTTGTTGCGCCGGGACACGGGGCATCACAGTATGGTAAGGGGTGTAACATTTCTGTCACACGCTTGAGGTATCCGGCCAATCACAATGCACTGGATAGCTGGCCAATCAGAGCACACCTCGCTTTTCAGACCGATGAGCTTTGTAAAAATCGGCGTTTCAGAAAGGCGGGGTATAGAGGAGCAACAATAATGTACATTATGTGGAAAATAATGTTTTTTTTTTTACCTTAAACCGCATAAACACATTGCATTACACCAAATACACAACATAATGTACGTTGCAACGTCATATGACCCCTTTAAAGAGGTTGTTCCACATTATTAAGCAAGTCACAGTTCTCATGCAATATGATAAGGAAGAAAGATCTTTCTGAAGATGAAAAGTATGAAACAATGCAATGTCTTGCAAAAGGCATCAAAACAAACAATATTTTGCAAATAGAAATGATTGAACTGTCAAAAGATTTGTGAGTGACTTAGAGCACAGAAGATCTTTGTCCGATAAAGATTTAACAAGGAAAGTTTCTGTCAAACAAATGAACTGTATTGTAGTGGCAGCTGTAAAAAAGCCACTGCTGAGCTGCAAACAGGTGTTTGAAGCTACTGGAGTCTCAAGATCCTCTCCATGCAGACTGGCAGTTGTGTGTAAAGCTGCGTTTCAATCACTGCTAACCAAACCTCACAAAGAGATACCTGCACAGTGGCTGTAGGAACACATTTTCAAACTGTTTAGCACCATGGTACTTATGCAAAACAATATTTTAATATTTTTTAATATAATTTAATTTATCATGAATATAATCTTTATTCATATATTATTGCTCTATTAATATTTGCAAGCATTTAATGGTTTAAATGAATTAGATGTGAATTATGTCTACAGTAATGTCTGCCCAATGCTTAAAATTTCAAAGTATTTCAACAGTTTCATCATAGAATTGGTAGCGTTATTTGTGTTTTTCATATCAAATCTCTGTAAACTGTGACTGTGCAGGAGGCCACTTTAAAGATTTTGAAATTACGTATCACATAATGTTCATTTCTGACTTCATTTTTATTCACATCACTGAAACCACACCAGCACACAATCTATGAATCTTCTCAGCAACATCCGCAGTCATTGAAACGGTTCTCGTGAACGCCGCCACTAGCACTGCGGTTTCATTCGGACAGTATTTGCTGCCATTCAGAGTTGATGTAAACTCATTCACCATCTCTGAAGGAAGCCAGTTTTCCGGGATTTCCATAGCACATTGTTCTACAGCACCATTTTTGATGTCCATATCAAGCTTTATAGTCACATCATCCACCACTATAGAAGAGCAAACACTGAATTTTGGAGTTCTGCCATAAATCCACTCCCACGTCTGCAGATCCTGTGCCATCTTATGAATGCCAGGCATGAGACCTTCATGAGTGGGGTCCACTGTGATGACTGGGCTGTCAAATCCAAATTCATTACTGTACTGGGAAGCAATAGCATCCATGATAGTGTTAGAGTCAAGAGTGGGATCCACATGCAAAAGGTTCTTGACAGGGGAAGGAACGCTTGGGGTAGCGTTGCTTTTGATAACTTCAGAAGTGTTACTCTTCAGGACTGAGGACAATATTGAACGGTCAACAGAACACAATAATGTACAGTGATGATAAGCAGAGGTTCTGCCTAATTTCGCAGCAGTGCCTGATATTTTGTAATGGCCATTTAACAAAATATCAAATCTGTCCGTCGCTGCGACATCTAGATCGGGTCTCAGTGCTTTTAATGCACTAGTAACGACTTTGAGGTTTCTGTGACGGTCGTATTTCTTCTTGGAGGTGAAGAAGGTCATGTTGATGTTTCCAAAATCATGGAAAACCGTTCCACCTCCACTGCGACGCCTCGCTAGCGGGATCCCCAAGCGTCTCATCAAGGGCAGGTTACACTCCTGCCAGGGGTTTTGATGCCTTCCTATGACAACCACGGGCGAATTTCTCCATAATAACAGCATGCTTCTGTTTTGCAGATCGACGCGATCGTGAATCCAGTCTTCTAAGGCCAGGTTCTCAAATATGCCAGTTGACGCAGATTTTAGGATGATACCAGCTTTTCCCATCTCATCGAAGAAGGTTGACAAAGTGCTTTTGAGGCGAGCTGATCCAGAGAGGACGCATGCCCTGTTTGACAGTCTCAAAATCATCGCTGACTTTTAATCTCTCCAAAAGTCTGTAAAGCACGGATAAACCCCAGATTATTAATTTCTGCGGTGTGTAGCGAAAACGTTTGGCCAATAATGCACATGGAATACGGATCTGCACAGTTTTTGCACTGTTTTTCCCACGCCTGCAGCAGCGGAACAACCGGGTCGACAGGGTCCCGTTTCCTGTCAAAGCATAATAAAAGTCCTGTACGTTAAGATGTATAAAAAATGACATGTTCTTTACGCAGGCGTTTGATCTCTAGTTTTTCATTGGGTAGTAAGGAAGGAGGCAAACAGCTTGGAGTTGAAAGACCATTAAATTGCTCCCTCTGTTGCTATTCCAGCAATTCCTCCTTGGTTGTTCCCTATACCACTAATTGATTTACAAATTCACAAAGTAATAAAAAAACCGGAGATGAACATGCCAACTGAAGTAGTAGTTCAACAATATATAAAACAAGAGTATTATTCTGTGTTACAGGTATTTACAGATGGGTCTAAGGAGCCAGAGTCTGGGAGAACAGCAGCAGCAGTTTATATTCCTACTTTTAAAATAAAAATGGCTAAAAGATTATCAGATCATGTGTCAGTTTTTACTACTGAATTATTAGCTATCATACTAGCTCTACAGTGGATCGAAGAAGTTCAATCAGAAAGAACTGTGATATGTACTGACTCAATGGCTGCGCTCACTAGCCTACTAAGTGGTAAATCTGAAGCTCGGCAAGACTTAGTATTTGAAGTTTTACAAAGTTTGTTTAGAATAAGGCAGTTAAGGATAGAGGTACGATTCCTCTGGGTGCCTGCACATGTGGGTGTGGATGGAAATGAGGAAGTAGACTTGCTAGCAAAGAAAGCATTAAATCATACACAAATAGAAATTAAGTTAGCTTTAAGTAAAGCTGAATTCAATAGAGTGATATAATTTGAAGTAAGTAAGAAATGGAAAAAGTTATGGAATAATGGGTCTAAAGGAAGACATATTTTCCAGATTCAGGAGTGTGTTGGAAATGAGAGGAAAAGATACGGAAATAGGAAGAAAGATGTCATCTTATCAAGACTAAGAATCGGACATACAGCATTAAACTATAGTCTTTATAAAATAGGTAAGCATGAATCGGGAAAGTGTGACAAATGTGGAGAATTAGAAACAGTGAAACATATTATTGTTGAGTGTTCTGCATATGAAAGGGAGAGATTTCAATTAATTCAAGAATTAGGATGGCTGGGAGTTGATAATATTTCTTTAAAAGTATTGTTAGGAAATGGGTCGAGGCAATCAAGAGTGCAAGAAAATATGTTTAAATACCTGAAAAACACAGGAACAATAGATAGAATCTAGCTTTTCTTTTTTTTTTCTCCTTTCTTTCCCTTCTGTATTTCTTTCTTCCAAATTTATGCACACTCCACACTCCAGATCAGTAGGTGGCGGTAATGCACCTTTTTAGCTGGTTTGCCAAACTGCCATAAAACACCAGAAGAAGAAGAAGAAGAAGAAGAAGTCACCACCCCGAGCACCGCCCACAGTCCCACTCTCCTTTTGCTAAACCCCCAGACAACATCGCAAAATATATTGAGATGGTTTTTGGTACTTATACCGCAAATATATATTCTTAAGGACATCAAAACCTCAAATAAAACTCCAGAAAGGTGTACAATATGGGACCTTTAAATGTTCTTCTGTGGTCTCCCTATCACATTTAAATGATATTAAATAATACTTTATTAATTTTAATTAATAATATCATAATACTTTTACGTCTAGAATCACAAAAAAAACCCTCAAATGCTAAAAAACCCCCTGCTTTGCTCACATTTGGTGTCTGTCTCATTGTAAGCAGTCTGTATATTTAAAGATCACCACTAGGTGGTACTAGTAGATAATTCCTTATGCATAATATAGTTTGACGGCTGTAATGTAATGTGATCACTACGAGATCTACGTTACTTCTCTCCAAGTAGTTAATTATTAAGATTCAGAATGAGATTAGGAAATTACTAAATTCAATCAGCATGAAATCAATTTGTTAAATGATGTTCATTTTGATCAGTTAACTCGTATCGTACCCGTGTCCTCTTAAGTTAATATCTGACTTATTCAGAGAATTTTATCTTCCTTGAAACAAACTGCTCTTATCTAAACTCGGTTCCTGGCATAGATCAGAGTTAGTGATATGTACCTTAAATTTAGATGTTGCTTTGCTTGCGCCTGCTTAAATGTAGGATGGTTACTGAATAGTAGCTACTTTGGCCTTATTACTTCACACCATATGTTGAAATATTACAATCGTGAGTTATAATTGTATATTAGTTCATCATAATTTCTTCAATAGAAGCCTCAGTGAGCCACCCATGTGGTGTGGTTTGTATAGTCTAATAATAATCGTTTATCACTTCTTACATTTTCTTTTCAGGTGTTTCGGCAAAGACTAAATCATAAAACACATCAAGTACGTCATAAATTCAAGTCAGTAAGCTAAAAACTTCGTTAAATAACGATGGGGGAGGGAATCAGTAAAAGTCATTTTCCTCAATTCTGATTGGTCGGTTTGCCATCCCTGATTGGTTGTTGCACTGACTGGGCGGAGTCTACGCAGAGCTCTGAACGGATATTTCCGGGTTGACCGTTGTTTGACAGATCAGGACGGACCGTCGCTTTCAGGTATGGTTATAAACCAAATATCATGCACAATTTACTGGTTGTCCGGATTATGTGAGAGAAGAGTGTATATGTAGTGTTAGTTTGCCGGTGGAGGTCGCAGACGGTGCGCCGAGGTCACCGCACAGCATCACCGGATCACTTTACAGCACTGAATGCGGACAGAAAACATCGAGACCTCACGGCTGAGTCATGGCTTTCAATAACACACACATCTGCGATCAGTTTATTAACGCTCATTGGTTTAGCTTGTTTGCTGAGACATGTTTGAACCCATGGTCAGCTGATGAGACACATCCATGTGATGCTGTTTCATTATTCCATCATCTGAGGATGTGTTCTGCGTTTCATATCACATGGTGATGAGCATAAATTATGTTTCATGGATCCTGGTTTCTCAGGTATATTATGCTATAGCAGCATGTGGCCTACAGCATGTGATAGTCTTTGGGCAGTGGAAGATACAAAGATCTGTATGCTGGACAAGCTAGCGCTTTTAATGAATACATGTAGGATACAATTTAGTGTCCCATTACAGAGCAGAGGTGCTAATTCCATTAGCTGTTCATTTACTATTAGAAAAGTTAGACAAAGTATTTATAAAATTAATGTAGCATGAAAAGTAGCTAGTTTTAAAGACACCAACGTTAAAATGGTGGTTTGTGTTCATCCCACCTTAGAGAGCTGGATCTTCTTGGCTGAATCTGTTAATTAAAAGCATACAAAATTGTCACAATTTTGCCTAATAGGCTGAATTGATGTTTAATTAATTACTAAACTAATCTGAATGACAAAAACATGAGTCCCGCTTTTAAAATTTTTGCTGTATCATTTATTTATTTGAAATATTGTGAAAGTTGGTATATCATTCGAAATTATTATTATTATTTTGTTATGGCTAGAAAAACAGTTAAAAACTATATTTAGGCATTTCCCAAATTTTAGCTTATAAAAAAATGAATGATGCATCGAAATTACTTTTTACAGAGACACCAAAGCCAAAATTAACATTTCTTTTTAGCTGAAAAAAACTAAATAAAATGTGGGTAACTGGGAGACTGAACTCTTATGCTGTTCAGGGTGTCATGTACAGCTGAACAAATTTTGCATATCTCTACTCTGGCATTATTTGTGGTCATGTTGAAGTGTGTACGCTGATACGTGGTTTTGGCCCTCCAAACTATCTTGGCTGAAACTGGAAAATCATTTTTTTCTCACTGATTTGGCTGAACATTTTAGGTTGCTGAATTTTTAGGTTGCCAAAATTGAATGGCACCATCTTTCAAGGTTAAAGGGATAGTTCACCTCACCCAAAAATGAAAATTCTGTCATCATTTCCTCACCCCTCTTCTTTCTTCTGCTGAACATAAAACAAGATATTTTGAAGAATGTGGGTAACCAAAAATGTGTCGGTCCCCACTGCGAATGGAAAAAAATATAATAGAAGTCAATGGGATCAGAAACCATTCTTCAAAATATCTTCATTGTGTTCAGCAGAAGAAAGAAACGCATATAAGTTTGGATTGGAACAACTTCTGGGTGAATACATGATGAAGGAATTTTCATTTTTGGGGTGGACTATCCCTTTAAGCACATCCTTTCACTGACTATTTATTGAAAAGAAAAAAGTTAACATTTGAAAGAGTTTCAGGCACTATTTTGTAAGTAGTAGCAGTTGTTCCCATCAAAGTCATGCTTGAATTTATGCACGAGTCGTCTCTGTCACGCAGCAAAATCTGTATGCATAGAATTTGAAATCAAGGATGTTCACATTGTGTTTAATCTGTCAGTCACACTTCTTGACCACTGAACATGTCTAATATTGTGACGGTCTCAGCGTTGCAGCTTTGACGGTTCTTATTGAATCGTCGAGTGTTGTATTTGTCAGTTGGGCGCTTTAAATCAAAACTGTGTCTGTAAGTGTGTATGAGGCCGTCTTTTCTTCTTCTTCTCTCATGCTTAAGGGTGCATAGTAAGAGCATTGTTAACCGAGGACAATGGCTATTAGAAGGTGCCCGTTAGTGAGTAACGAATACTAGCGTTTCAGCTTTTCTTTCTCTTCCCCCTGTCATTATTGCCCTGTGGTTTCCATTCCCTCTCTTGTTATTCTATAGCGTGTTATTGAATGTCAGAGTTTTTCAGTGGTATCTGTGCCTATAATCAATCTGAATGTGATACAATCACTCGCTACATCTCTTTCATCTGTATAAACAGTAAATCTCTCATATAGTCATTACCAGTGCATTTTATACACACTCAGAATCAGATGTGAATGAATCTGTGATCATCTCAGTAATCTAATCCTCTCTGTCCATCCCCAATGATTTCAGTTGTTGGCCTCTGGACCGTGTGATGTCATCAGTGAATGGCTTTAGATAGACTCATGCTCAGGTTTTTAGGTGTAGACGGGAGGTGAACGTGTGTTTGTTGGAGGTTGTGTGTATGTGTGTGTGTGCTGAACGTGAAGGGCTTGTGTTGTTTGTTTCAGAGGTCAGCAAAATAAGCAGTGGTTCAGTGTACATGCAGTCTGCTCGTGCAACCCTGGATGTGAAAGGAACAATGATGTTATCAGTATAAAAATCACTCACACTGTACAGTCATATATATGTGTGTGTGTGTGTGTGTGTGTGTGTGTGTTTTATTGAGTGTCTGTCAGGGATGATGACATCAGTTTGGGGAGGGCTTGTGATTGGATCGATTTCTCTGCTGATTGTGATGTTCGACTGACCTGTTTTTGAGCACTGTTTACATTAACATTACTAATATGCAAACAATTTTTACATATTCTCTGTTTAAAAAAACATTTTTTTTTTTTTTTAAATACTGGCTGTACTTGTTTGTGTGTTTGTATGGTACACATTAAGGTACTGAATGTTATAATGACATTTATAAAATACTTTTATGTAGGTTAAGATATAAAATGTCAGTGTTTATTTTAGTATCATTTACATAACTTTTATAGCATGTATAGCTTTTCATGTTTATATTTTCAGTTTAAGTTTTAGGAATTGTCATTTTTAGTTTTTATATATATATATATTTCTATTAGCTTTAATTATTTTTTATTTATGTTTTAGTTTGAGTAATTTTAGTACTTCAACTTATTTCTATTTCAGTTTAGTTACCAAGGCAACATTTCTGGCAGTGTTATTTTATAGCATTTTATAGCATTTATAGCTTTTATTTGTATATTTTTCGTTTTCATTTTAATTTCAGTTTGAATTTTAGTAACTGTGTTAAATTGTGTTCAGCTATTTAATAAATGTGCTTTTGTCATTCAGTTTTAGTTTTAGTCATTTTGGTAATTAAACTTTGATTTAAGTTTAGTTGCCAAGGCAACATTTCTAATTATCATTTAAGATTTTTAAGTTAAAGTTTTTCATCTTATATTTATTTTAATTTCAGCTTAATTTCAATTAATAAAAGACTAGGATTAAGTTGTAACAATAACAGCACTGTAAAATGTTTTATACATAATTTAAAATATTAATGACAAATTTTTATAAAAAAATGATATTTTGTAAGCAAATTACGTGGTATGCTGTAGTTCATATTGTGTATTTTAGCATGGCTGAAAAGCTGTACTGTTCAATCATCATCCATGATCTGTATAGGGCCCTATGAAATCTGTTTTATTTGTTCCCAAATTCCATTTTTTCCCGTTTGAATTTTTCTGGATTCCGTTTTTTCCACTTTAATTTTTCTAGACTAGACTGTTTTAATGGTTAAATTAAATTTTATTAATCAAAAGTATGTCTAATTAATTGAAATCATGAAACGTATTTAACAGCAATTTATTAACAGTTTAATCAAAAAAATTAATTTAACGCCCTATTAAAAGTGCTTTCTTTTTTCTCAAATTGAGTTTTATTTTTACATTCTGCTTTCCATTAATTTTCTGAGTTTCATTTTAATGGTCTCGTTTAATTCTAATCAACTCTTAATTGATTTTATACAAAATAATTTATTATTTTATTTCTTTTTCTTTTCAGAAATACTGTGTTGTGTATTTACGTTATTCTTCTAAATAAATTCTGGTAAATAATTTTTCTGGTAAATATTCCTTTATAAATAACGTTTTAATAGTAACTTTATTTACTATTTATTTACTAGCTATCATTACATTAAGTCTGTCACAGTTTCTTCAAGTTAAACCAAACTTTTATTTTGACTGGTTGCTGTGAAAACCTTTAAGTTTCTGCTTGTATATGATATGACGATATTTTTTCTCAAAATAAATGGTCAAATGCTCATGAAGTGAGCAGATCATGATCATATATTGAGGCGGCAGAGGCTGAAATCACCGCGGGCGTCGCGCACGCTTCAGTATGTGTGTAGTAAACGAAAATGGCATCTGTGCCATTCATTCACACAGAACATGCAGGATTCATATCTAAATAGTATTTTTGCAGTTTAATATTCACAGACACTAGTCCATATCGCGTTTTGATTTAAGTGTAATGACCTACCTTTGATTCATCTATCCAAAATTTGGCAAATTCTGTGACGTTCCGTGTTATACAGTAAATTCCGTTTTTATGACTGGATTCCGCGATTACGTCCGCATTTTTCACATAACGTAAATCATAGGGCCCTATCTGTTTAATAATCTAGTACTATTTGATTTTATAATAAAATGTATCCACCTGAGTCCTGTAATGTGCATGGACTCAAACTGAATATGTTCATAGCAAGCTTTTTTTGGAGTCTGCAGTGATTCTTATTGAATGTGTGTGTGCTGCTGATCTGTGCATGTTGCATGAAGCCTGTTGTCTTGCCATGTGTTGCAGCACCTGTCGTTGATGGCCCAGCTGTGTGTTGAGGTAGAATGGGACAGAGCACATCGGGCCCAGAGTCCGCAGAACCTCCACAGGTGAGCAGCACCACCCTAATGCTTTACCTCACACTAGGGCTGTCAAAAAAAATGTGAATTTCGAATATTCGTCGAAAAACGTTGCATTCGAATTTAAGGGTCTGCGTCAGCGGTCAGGCAGCCTTATCAGTGGCGCACGAGATGCGATGACGATGTATGTGTCATTGATTGCATTTGAATGCTTTTGTTAGCCTATCCAGTTGAACCAACTAGATGCGGCGCTGCTACGCTGTTCATTCATATATTGCGGAAAACGAGAGCATCAGTGTGGAAAAGATGTTGTTTACGTCAAAACTGAAACCAAGCC